GAATTTTTTTCCTGACTATAAATTATGTCATGCTACTTACCTGATTAATCACTTCTGCTGGATCTCCTTGCGTAAAACATTAACTCCGACTTCCTTAACTCATCATCAATTTCCTAGTCAAAAGCCATGCCCTTCTGGTTCCACCAAGCAAAGTTATGGATTTCCAGATCACTCTGCTACAAAGTCTATAAAGTTCTATAGTGACCTTATCACTTGATTAAGATGGGATCTGATTGGCTACTGTTTTGGTTCTCTAGTGTTCTAAGACCATTTTATCATTTTAGCAGTAATAGGTAAGCCTAACAAAGGGATATTCCCATATATATTAAATTATAATGTGTGAGCCTATTAGACAATGTTCCTGTATGACATTGAAAAGACATGCAGTCATTCTTTTGCCTTATGTTCAAGTTCTTGATAGTCTTTCTTAACAAATATGACTTTCAAATGATGATTCTTAAGAAGTGCAATAAAAGTAGGTAATTTAATTAAAAGTAGCAAGAATTAATACGTAATTCACTTTTTATATAATGCTTTTCTACTATCTTTTTTCATCCTTTAGAGTAACAGAACAAAGAATGAATGGAGATGTAAAGTTACCATAAAAGGGGACTGGTTTTATGGACCTTCCATCCTAAACATCAAGCCAGGAGAAACTGCACAGTATCCTCTCACATTCAAACCTGTTTTGGCTTGTGAGGTTACGGTATGGTCTCATTGATATTTTTAACATTCTTAGTATGTTATTAAACCAATGTATGATACTAACCTATGTTTAACTGATGATGAAACATTATTTTGCAAACAAGCTATGTTTGCCATGAATTTAATGTTTAATCTTTCTTAAAATTTAATAAATGTTTTAACTTCAAGGATAAAAATTCTGAAAGTCATAATGCTATTGGCTGTCAACAATTATATCCAACTTATTTTTATACAATGTGCAGAACAAAGTAAAATCATTGCTCCTTTTATTCTGTTCATTGAAGAACTTGGTACATTAGAAACTATTTTCTTAGAAGGCATATTTCTTTGCCAAAGAAGTAAACACATATATAATTGCTATGTATGAGATTGCCTATATAACCTCTATAATTTAGAGAAATTAAAGAGAAAAAAAAGATCTTTTCACCAGAGTTTACCTTTGTTAATTTAATAATAAGGATTTTTATACAAACTGAAAAAGTCAGTGGCTGACACCTCCTTGTAAGCTAATTTTTTTTAACTACCCTTGAAATTAATAGCATAGGAGAGGTGGTTTGGAATCTAAGTAAAGACTTCCATAGAGCTGAAATTTGGCTACTTTGTCACAGGGCAGACTTATTCTACAAAATGAAATAGATGGTGTGAAGCACATCTTTGATGTGAAAGGTATTGGAAGGCAACCTCAAGCCTTGGAACATGTCATTATCAACTGCCAAGTAGGGGAGACAACCAATAAATCCCTAATGGTTCCCAATTATGCACAGACTTCCATAACATATGAGGTAAGGTGTTTCGTTTTAGCATCAAAGAGTATTTAGAAGTATATTGAATTTTATGAAATACTGAAGACATTTAATTTTACTTAATTTGGGGAAGCAGTGTCACATAAGACAATGTCTACAATCCAGTTCATTAGTTCAACAGCTATTTCCTTTTAATTATAAAAATTGAATTAGTATCAGCCAAGTTCTATATTTAAGTGATGGTATATAATAAAAATACACACCAAAATGCTCTTATTTGAGTCATGTACATTTTCACTTGAAAAGCTTTCACATAATTATAAAAGGCTTTTTCAAGACATTTAGAAACAACTTTAAATATTTTAATGCTAAACCTATTACTGTTGTTAGGTGCCTTTGAGTCAGTTCAGTTCACAGCGACCCCATTTACAGCGAAATGAAACACCAGTGGTGTGCCATCCTGATAATCACTATGTTGAGCCCATTGTTGCAGCCAATGTATTAATCCATCTCACTGAGGATCTTCCTCTTTTTTGCTGACCCTCTCCTTTACCAAGTATGATGCCCTACATGGACGGGTCCCTCCTGATAACATGTGCAAAGTAAGTGAGACAAAGTCTCATTGTCCTCACTTCTGAGGAACATTCTGGCTGTACTTTTTCCAAGCGAGATTTGTTCATTCTTCTGGCAGTCCATGGTCTATTCAGTACTCTTTACCAACACCGTAATTCAAAGGCGTCAGTTCTTCTTCAGTCTTCCTTATTAATTGTCCAGCTTTCACATGTATATGAGGTAATTGAAAGAGCAAAATTTCAAAAGCCTATTCTCTTATTTACCAGAGTGAATAATACTGGGAATGTGAAGAAATGCATACTTATTTGCATCTTTCTTTTTATGAAGTTTTGGACTTGAAACTTCTCACTTTTTTAAGCCATTTTTGGCTTTTTCTTTTTCACTCCCCACCTCTATCTTTATCTAAAATTCCTGAACTGTTATGTGCCCAATAGGTTCCTTGAATGAAGCTTAATATCTGGCTATCATAGCCACCTGAATTAAGTTTTTAGAAGAGACTTCAGAAATTGAAACCTCACTGAATTTGCCCTCTCTCTTTTTTTTGTGTGTGATCTTGAGAAATATGTGCTGAAATGTTATTCTTTTCTTACTAGATTGCAAATAGAATGAATATTCTAAAGACAAATTTCATCTTGTCACTCCCCTGCTAAAACACTTCAAAGTCATCTCTTATTCTTGGGTATCTCTTCAGCTTTATCTCTTGTCACATCCAGGTCCAGCAACACTTAGGTATTTGTATAGAATATTTGCCATATTTAAGGAGCTCTGGTGGTATAGTGGATAAGGCATTTGGCTGCTAACCAGAAGTTAAGATGCTCAGATCCACCAGCTGCTCTGCTGAAGGAAGATGGGGCAATCTTCTTGTCTTCTTTTGTAAAGATTTATAGCCTCAGAAGCCCTATGAGTTAGCAGTGCTATTTTTTTTAGTGTTATTTTGAGTCAGAATTGACTTGATGGCAGTGGTTTTTTTTTTTTTTTTTTTAGATTTCTCTGCCCCAAGGCCCTGACTTTTGTCTCTCTTATAGGGCAAGACTTAAATGCTACTTTCTCCAAGAATACATCTCTGTCACCATGAACCTGGATAAAATATCATTCATATGTTGTTGTTGTTGTTGTTATGTG